ATAGAATAGAATAGAATAGAATAGAATAGAATAGAATAGAATAGAATTTTTTATTGGCCAAGTATGATTGGACACACAAGGAATTTGTTTTTGGTGCATAAGCTCTCAGTGTACATAAAAAGAAAAGATACATTCATCAAGAATTATAAGGGTCATTCAGGCAGTCCTCAACCTTTGACCACAATAGAGCCAAAAACTTCTGTTGCTAAGTGAGACAACTGTTAAGTGAATTTTGCTCCATTTTATGATGCCACCATTAAGTGAATCACTGTAGCTGATGTTAGTAACACAGTTGTTAAGTGAATCTGGCTCCCCCCACACCCCGGTGATGATTTTGCTTGAGAGGAGGTCGCAAAAGGGAATCATGTGACCCCGGGATGCTGCGGCCGTCATAAATATGGACCAGTTGCTACGTGTCTGCATGTTGATCATGTGACTATGAGGATGCTTCAATGGTGATAAGGGTGAAAATGGTCACGTGAAAAAAAGATGGGCGGACAGATGTTAGATGATAGATAAGATAGATACACAGATGTTTGTTAGATAAATAGGTACCGTGTTTCCCCGAAAATAAGCCCTCCCCAAAAATATTTAAGCGTATGCGTAGCCGGTCCTCGCCATTTCCTCTGGTTAGGGAGACAGAGCTGGAAATCAGGTAAGAAGCCAAGAGGAGCCCCGTCTTGCTCCACGTGCCCCAAAATAATAAGATCTCCCCAAAAAATAAGGACAAGCACTTATTTCAGTGTTCAAAAAAAATATGAGACAAGGTCTTATTTTCGGGGAAACACGGTAGGTAGGTAGGCAGGCAGGCAGACACAGGCAGACAGACAGATGTTAGGTAGGTAGGTAGATATAGATGATAGGTAGGTAGGTAGATAAGTAAATAGATAGATGATACATAGATGGTAGGTAGGTAGGTAGATAGATAGATAGATAGATAAATGGTAGGTAGGCAGATAAATAGATGATACATAGATGGTAGGTAAGTAGGTAGATAGATAGATAAATAGATACATAAATGGTAGGTAGGTAAATAGATAAATAGATAGATAGATAATGTTAGACAGACAGACAGACAGACAGACAGACAATCCAGGATATTGTCAGTTCTGCTCATCAAGTAAAAGCAATGTTTATGCTAGTGACTTCAGTCTCGATAACTTTGCTAGAATGCAGTGTATGATCACGTTTCCATAGAAACGCCGAAAAAGAAATTATGGTTCAGGCCCAGTATTTTTGAAACCAGCAGGACATTTCTGAAAAGAAAAGAGGGTCTGAGCCAAAGAAACATCTCCACAGAAACCAGCATCGCTGGGGGAAGGAGGGGGACGGATGACAGATGACGAAACACCTACATTGTACGAGGATATCTGCTCAGCCAGCTTTTTGTCTCTCTCGGAGGGGAAGGCTTCTTCTGCCTTGTCCTTCGAGACGGGCTTTTTTGCTTCCTGCTGTTCCTGAAGACCGTGAAAAAGGAAAAGAAAAGATGAGTTAGCAGGCGCCCAAAGAAACGCACAAACCAGAGGAGAACCTTGGTTAATTGAGATCTTCTTTATGGTATCTTAAGGCAGCCAAATGATAAGACCGATGGACAGTTTTGATTCTCGCGGTAGAAAAAATCGTAGCTGCACAGCCTTGGTACACAATGTTTTATGCCAGGAAAAAAGAAAATGTTATTTATGTTATGCTGAGAATTTTATCTATTCATGCTGAGAATGTACCCAGTGGAGAGGGACGTTCTCAACATTATTAGGGTTGACTCAAAAGGTTCCAGCTGAGAGATTTCGGCTTTTCTTAACCTGTGCAAGATCAACTCTCAGAAACAAGGTGGGAATCATGCTTTAAAATTCCATTTCTAGAATGTTTAGATTATATATATATATATTTAGAATAGAACTGGAAGGGACCTTGGAAGTCTTCTAGTCCAGCTCTCTGCTCAAGCAGGAGAACATACATATACCATTTCAGACAAGTGACTGTCCAGTCTCTTCTCTTCTTGAAAACCTCCAGTGATGGAGCCCCCACAACTTCAGGAGGGAAGTTGTTTCACTGGTTAATTGTTCTCATTGTTAGGAACTTTTTCCTTAATTCCAGGTTGCTTCTCTCCTTGGTTAGTTTCCATCCATTGTTTCTTGTCTTGTCTTCTGATGCTTTGGAGAATAATTTGACCCCCCCCTTCATTGTGGCAGCCCCTCAAATATTGGAAGACTGCTATCATCTCACCCCAGTGCTTCTTTTCTCTAAACTGGACCTACACAATTCCTGCAGCCGTTCTTTGTATGGTTTCGTCTCCAGGCCTTTGATCATTTTAATTGCTCTTCTCTGAACTTTTTCCAAAGTCTCAAAACATCTTTTTTTGCAGTATGGGGACCAAAATGGGTTGCAGCATTCCAGGTGTGGCCTTACTAGGGTTTTGTAAATTTCTCTCTTATCCTCACAGAGAATGAGAGCCCTCGCTTGCTGAAGGCTAAAGAGGTTCTTCAACTTGCATTTTGGGGGGGGCTAACGTTTATTTACAGGGCCTGGTCGAGCTGCTCCGATGCGATTGGAATCCTTAGCAAGATTTCTATTTTGCATCTCAAAACGAGTTTCATTTGCAAGCCAATTCAGCTTTGGACCTTTCCATTTGAAGAGTCCCATTGACAGCAGGGTGGATAAAAATCAATGATTTTTTTTAAAAAAATCAAAAAAATCAGATTTGTTTGATTTAAATTGGATTTTTTTGATTTTTATCAAATTTATTTTAATAAAAAACGTTTGGGGTAAAAATCTATCGTAAGATAGTTTTCTATTTAAGATACAGAAATAATTTAGTTTATTCAGCATGAAACGGAGCTTAGTTATGTAGCAGGAGGCTGTATATTCTGCAACACTGGGACTATCGGTGAGTCAACAGCGGGTCAAAGGAGTAGCAGAGATGACAGTTGCTCTTTAAAAATTATGATTTAAATCGAGTTGATTTAAATCAAGCCTTTTCACTAGTGATTTAAATCATGATTTAAATAGGGATTTAAATCAACTCGATTTAAATCAAATCCACCCTGACTGACAGGGTCCAGTTTTTTGACAGGGGGCCAGCAGGGAAAAAAACAGCCATCAGGTCAATGCAGGCACATCGAATCCAACCCAACGTTTCAATTCGATGGGAGAAATTGGACTGAATTGGCACCTAATCTCCAAAGTGAAGCTCTGCGCAATCCTATTGACCCAAATCTGTTTCCTCCTGGAGTTCAAATACCAGGCAGTCCTCGAGTTAGCCCATGTTATGTTGCTGAGACAATTGTGACATGTTTTGCCCCATTTTATGACCTTCCTTGGCACCGATGTTAAGCGAATCATCAAAATGGTTAAGTCACACGGTTGTTAAGGGAATCTGGTTTCCTCCGTTGACTTCGCTTGTCGGAAAGTCGCAAAAGGGAATCGCATGACCCCAGGACAACGCCACCGTCATAAATGTGAGTCAGTTGCCAAGCAGCTGAATTTTGATCACGTGACCTCGGAGATGCTGCAATGGTCGTAAGTGTGAAAAACGGTCGTAAATCACTTTTTTCGGTGATGATGTAACTTTGAACAGTCAGTTAAGTGAACTGTTGTAAGTAGAGGACTACCTGAAGAGAAGGACCAGGGGAGACATGATAGCAGTGTTCAAATATTTGAGGGGCTGCCCCAGAGAGGAGGAAGGGGGTCAAGCTATTGTCCAAAGCACCTGAAGGCCAGACAAGGAACAATGGATGGAAACCGATCAAGCAGAGATTCAACCTGGAAATAAGGAGAAACTTTCTGACAGTGAGAACAATCAACCCATGGAACAGAAGTTGCCTTCAGAAGTTGTGGGAGCTTCATCACTGGAGGCTTTCAAAAAGAGAATGGACTGCCATCTGTCAGAAATGGTGTAGGGTCTCCTGCTTGGGCGGGGGGCTGGACTAGATGACCTACAAGGTCCCTTCCAACTCTGGTATTCTGTAATCTGTAAAACCTGTATTTGCCCTATAATTCTCCAGTATTTCATATGCCATTTTCCATTCCCCCCCCCCCCAGCTCTGTCAGATTTCTATTTTGCTGAACTGAGTTCAATGAATTTTGCTTTAAAGTTGGTCCTTGACTTACAACCATCTGTTTAGTGACTGTTCAAAGTTACACCGGCCCTGAAAAAAGTGACTTATGATCGTTTTTCACACTGACAGCTGTTGCTGTGTCCTCTTGGTCACGTGATCAAAATTCAAGACAGTTGGCGATTGGCATGTACTTATGACAGATTGCAGAGTTCTGAGATCACATGATTCCCCCTTTTGCGACCTTCTGACGAGTAAAGTCAACGGTAAAGCCGGATTCACTTAACAACCATGTTACTAACTGAACAACTGCAGTGATTCACTTCACAAAGGTGGCAAGGAAGGTCATACAATGGAACAGAACTCACTTAACGACTGCCTTGCCTAGCCATGGAAATTTTGGGCTCAATTGTGGTCATAAGTCGAGGACTTATTATCTTTATAAGCTTTTTTTTTTTTTTTTAAAGTCAATAGATCTTAAGAAATCTTAAGAAATGAAACAATGTTGGAAATGATTCCACAGCTGGGTTTATTTAAGTTGTGGAGGGTGGGCCTGTCTGGCCACATTCACCTCCCACAGAAAACCATTTAGAAGCATCCGAGGAACAAAGTACTCAACCATCTGACCTCTTCTGTAACACCAGGCATGCTACAGCCTGCTAGACGTAAGGAAAGAGTTAGCATGCAACAACTTCTATTGTGTCAGACGTGGTGGGAAAATTGGACCGTTGTAAGCATAGCAACAGTTTGTTTTAATGAGGTCAGCTTCAAATCTTGGGAGGACCGAGAAAAGGATCAACTCTCAAAAGTTCTTGGCTCAGCTGTCTCTTGGCAACGAAGCTGCACTGCTAATCGGAGGAATTGAGAGGAATTCACACACCACAGAACCACACTGTTAAGTCTGCAAAAGTAGCAACAATTTTGCAGGAACTTATCTGGGTCGGTCACCGGGACCGGAGGTTTTGGCCTCTGAGCTTTCGGACTCGTGCTGGAGCCCATCCTCAGGGAAATTCTCTCGACTGGAATGTGTCAATGTGTGTTTTTCAGCATGTGACACGCTCTGCTGGAGAGAAGTTCCCTGAGGATGGGCTCCAGCATGAGTCCGAAAGCTTGGAAGACAAAACCTCCGGTCCTGGTAACCAACCCAGATTAGTTCCTGCAACATCATTCTGGGACACGTATATTTGCCTCCATCCATAAAGGACAACGTCCTTGAATTAAAGCAAAAGAGATTATTCAAATAAAATTTGCCTGCCTGATGAGTGGTAGCAAAGGATCCCCACTGGGTCCCCATCTTCTGGGACTGTGCCTCCCTCCATCATCAGAAAGTTTTTGAAACTATTTTGAAGAGTGTTTGATGACAGACAGGCGATTGTTGGCTGTGCTTGGAATGGCTGGCATTGCTAGGATCAGGATTGGCTATATCAGGGGTGTCAAACTTAATTTCAATGAGGGCCACATCAGGGCTGTGGTTGACCTTGGGGGGCCGGGTGGGCGTGGCCAGCTTGACACCACTCCCCAAACTGCTGGCATGTTTCCTCTTCACATTGGGTAGACCGGGCCAAAGTGACACGGGTAGACCAGGATGGCCCATAGACTGCATCTGACCACATCATGGGCTGCATCTGGCCCACAGGCTTTGAGTTTGATACCTCTGGGCTATATTATGATTATGAGACTTGTTTATGATCTTCATTATTTGGCTTTATAACAATTCGATTTACTAATGTTGCATTGATTGGTTTTCTTGCTTGGGAACCATTCAGAGTCAGGAAGACAGAAGGTCATAAAATCATTTCTATTGAGTAAGAAACTATAAGCCAAGGACGTTTGAAACGTTAAAAATCCACGTCAGCAGCGTCCATTTTAAACTTTCCAAACTTCTCTTTGACTTATTGCTGGATAAATACCAGATCTGCCAACCCAAAAATATGAAGAATATTTTCACTGACAAACCAGGTGGGAATAAAGACTTACCTTAGCTTTCTTTTCTCTATCAGCTGGAGTATCCGTCCAAATGGATCTGTCCCCAGAATTATCATTGGCTCTTCTTTTGAATGTCCGTGGACCGAAACCAAAGTTTTTGAGTTCTGGGGGAAGATCGGTCATCCAAGATTCTCTTTTAGCTTGTTTGGATTCGTCCTTTGACAGGAAACAAAATTGAGAAGCATCCGTGAAGGACCGGCCAACGAATGCCTTCGGAACGCTGTTGGGTGTTTGAGAAAAAGCAACAGAAACGATGTACCCAACTCACATCAGCATCTCCCAGAAGTTTCTCCTTCATTCTTCGAGCCCGATCCTCAATCTCAGCACCTGGGTTGGAGTCCACCGATCCCTTGGCTGGCATAGGGCCAAATATATCTCCCTCTTCCTCATTATCGCTCGCCTTTAGCGCAACACAGAATAAAGACAAAAATCCTGGCGGTTCAGCAAATGGAGATTTTAAATAATACCAAGTGTTTAGGCAGCCCTTGGCCTCTAAAGCTTCCTGTGCATGACAATCCTTTCAAGGGTACTGCAAGACATCATTTCTTAGCAGCAAAGAATGTAGCACATCTACCTGTAGTTTTCTGATTTACGTTTGTAAAAAACAAGAGGGTCATTTCACATAGAAATATCAACTCTTGTTGTGAGATACATATGGTACAAACACACATTCTAGTCAATGAGCAGTTCCCTGAGGATGGGTTCCAGCATGAGTCTGAAAACTTGGGAAAACTAAACCTCTGTTCCTGGTGACAGATTGGATCCTGCAATATTATCCTGGGACACGTAGATTTGCCTTGATTAATAAGGAACAAACTGTTCTCGTGTCCTTGCTTGAAATCCTCGTCTTCCACGCTATTGCAAGGGTCTAATCTCGGACGCCACCTACTTATTTTTCAGAGACAACATCAGCATGAATCTATCATGACAATTGCTCGGGATTCTATTGGTATAATTGAGTTTCACAATATTTCTGTGTTCAGTTTAACTCCCATCCTTTCAGGATACAGTACTGAATTTCAGAAAGTTGTAGAATTGGGACGCCTGCTGAGGTTCCTTTTCTCCATGAGAGCTGATGGGAAGGTAGCCAACAACAGACTCCAGTTAAGGAAACAATAAAAAAGAAACTATGAAGTATTAGAAGCTAGTTCTTCCCATGAGGTGGCCTACCAGAAGAGAAAGTTTTGCAGTGCCACAGCATGGTGCTCCTGGCCCTGAGTGAGTTGAGGGGGGTCACAAAAGGAAAAAAAAAGTTGAAGAAGTTGAGACCTCCTTCAACTGAAGGTCAAGTTTCTTCAAAGCTTGCCTCACATTTCTGATTTTTTCCCCCCAGCCTTTCTATTACTATCATAAGATAGGAATGGTTGTAGAGATATCCTTCACATATACAGGTGTCTCCTACATATTTTAATGTCCAGTGAACTGAGAACACACATCATCTGACAACTGAATTACATCTAAATCCATTGGATGATTAATCACCCAGAGTTCTTTCAAAGCTAGAAACTTTACCAGGCAAAGGAATTTGGGTCAAAATACTTTGCTCCACATACACATCCCACAAACAAATGTTGAATTCTTTGTGTTTTGTTTTTATTATTTCTCATACCTGGCTTTTGTTACCTCGTTTTTCTTCAGCATCTTCTGACGGTTTCTTAAAGCCTGGTGGCAAAGCAGGACCTATAATAGGTCTCAAGAATAGAATTAGATTTTAATAACATTCCCCTATATAAAGCATATAAAGAATGGGCTGTTAAAAAGTTACTCTCAAAGCTATATTTGCAAGCAGGTGAATTCATATCCCACTTACACACATCTGCCCCCGCATTCCTCTGCGATACAGGTGGCCCTCGACTTACGACAGTTCATTTAGTGACCATTCAAAGATACAACGGCAATGAAAAAATGACTTATGACCATTTTTCACACTTTTGACCATTGCAGCATCACCATGGTCACGTGATTTACATTCGGATGCTGGACCACTGACTCATATTTGTGACGCTTGCAGTGTCCTGGGGTCATGGGATCCCTTCTGATAAGAAAAGTTGAGAGGTATGCCAGATTCACTGAACCACTGTCTTCCTAACTTAACAACTGCAGGGATTCACTTAACAAATGTGGCAAGAGAAGTTGTAAAAGGGGGCAAAATTCACATTACAAATTTCTCATTTCACAATATAAATGTTGGGCTCCATTGCGGTCATAAGTCAAGGACTAACTCAGCTAATGTTACAGAGGAATTTAGCTTGCTTGCAGGAGTCACGGGTTCCTTGCCTGCTCCTTGAGTTAGCAGTTAGTGTGGTTCTAACATCCTTGTGTGAATTACCTTTCCGGTGATTCCTCTGGCTTTTTAAATCCTGGAGGAAGAGCAGGCCCAAAAAACCCATCATCATCCTCTTCCTGAGATCTTCTCAGTTTCCTTTATAGAGATAAGGAAGGCAGAAATAAGGGCATTTGAAATACAAAGAGCGGTTTTGCTTACATCTCAAAGACAGTGCAACGACTGGAAGTTTTTATGCAAGGAATCTTCAAGGAAAATGCCTTGAGGTTGTGCTAACAGTCAATGAGCAGCTGAGGGATGAACTGAAGGAAAAGTTCAGGAAGCTCAACTTTCTTTGCTGGAAGAAAAAGGTGCCCTAATTTTCATGTTTCTGCTTAAAAAAGAGGCAGGCTGATGAAGATGTTGCTGCATATGTGTGCAGAGAAGATCAAACAGGATGATTAGGGGACTGGAGGCTAAAACATATGAAGAACAGTTGTGGGAGCTGGGCATGGCTAGTTTAATGAAAAGAAGGACTAGGGGAGACATGATAGCAGTCTTCCAATATCTCAGGGGCTGCCCCAAAGAAGAGGGGGGTAGCTATTCTCCAAAGCACCTGAGGGAAGGACAAGAAGCAATGGGTGGAAACTAATGAAGCAGAGAAGCAACCTGGAACTAAGGAGAAATATTCTGACAGTGAGAACAATTTGTTTCCTGGAGGACAAGTTTACAATGGAACAACTTGCCTCCAGAAGTTGTGAATGCTCCAACACTGGAAGTTTTTAAGAAGAGATAGGACAACCATTTGTCTGAAATGCTATAGGGAATCCTATACCATTGGGTTGGACCTCCAAGGTCCCTTCCAACTCTATTATTCTGTTCTGTTATGTCTGTGGGCGATGACGTCCTAAGTATGTGATATTTATATATTTTAGTACCCCCCCTCCCCCAAGGCATACTGGCATCAGGAGCAATAGTCAGAACGCAAAATGTAGCTATCATTGACATAATGGCATCAGCTGCCCCTTAAAACAGTTCCATACTTTCAAGCCAATGCACAAACCTGGGAACTGGACTTGAACCTTCCTCCTCTTCGGAATCAGAATCTGTCTCTCTGGACGTCTGAGCAGACACACGTTTCTCCTCATTTTCAGAGTTTTCCTTGAAGCCAGGAGGCAATGCTGGTCCTGCAACTAAATTTTATTCTATCATTATATATTTCAGATGAATATTGCTTTATTTGTTTTTGGACTATCCAACTTTTTTTTTTTGTAAGGAGATAAGAAATAAAAATAGGCACGTTCTTTTATGTGAGCACTGATTTATAGTCTCTTATAAATATGTTTATTTATATAAATACAAATCTATCTTGGGCTAACTGATCTATTATAGTGCAATGTCTTTGGGCCAATCACCAGGAGACTGGGAGTTCTAGTCCCGCCTTAGCATGAAAGGTGTGTGTGTGAGAGAGAGGGGGGGGGGACGGGAGAGAGAGAGAGAGGGAGAGGGAGAGAGAGAGAGAGACTGACTGACTTTGGGCCAATCACCAGGAGACTGGAAGTTCTAGTCCCACCTTAGTCTGAAAGGTGTGTGTGTGTGTGTGTGTGTGTGTGTGTGTGTGTGTGTGTCTTTCCACCAATCACCAGGAGACTGGGAGTTCTAGTCCCGCCTTAGCATGAAAGGTGTGTGTGTGTGAGAGAAGGAGGGAGGGAGGGGGAGAGAGAGAGAGTGAGAGGGAGAGACAGAGAGAGATTGACTGACTTTGGGCCAATCACTAGGAGACTGGGAGTTCTAGTCCCACCTTAGCATGAAAGGTGTGTGTGTGTGTGTGTGTGTCTTTCCACCAATCACCAGGAGACTGGGAGTTCTAGTCCCGCCTTAGCATGAAAGGGGTGTGTGTGTGTGTGTGTGTGAGAGAGAGGGGGGGGAGGGGGGGAGGGGAGGGAGAGAGTGAGTGAATGTCTGACTGACTTTAGGCCAATCACCAGGAGACTGGGAGTTCTAGTCCCTTCTTAACCATGAAACCCAGCTGCTCTTTCCTCTCCTCTCAGCCCGGCCCACCTCACAAGGTTGTTGTTGGAAAAATAAGCGAAGGCATGTTTGCCTTGAATACTAAAATAATCTAAAAAGCTAAGACGTCCAATAAACTGCCAAGGAAACCAGACCTGGTTGGGATCCGCCAAGGGAAGCCAGGAGGGCCCTATTTCCATTTACCCCTCCAGCCAGCCCCCTCCTCCTCCTCCCTCCCTCCCTCCCAGATTGGCTCAGCCAGAAAGCTGAAAAAAAGCCCCGAGCGGGGCCTTTCTCCCCCGCGGAGCCTTCCCGTCTCATTCCCGCGAGCGAGGGCCTCCTCCTCCTTCTCACCCGACCCGGAGTCCACCGAAGCGGCCTCGGAATCAGCTAACTGCGGAGGCAGCGCCGGCCCGATAACATCACGGGACGCCATGATGGCCAGAGGAATCCTGGCGCGCCTGCGCGGTACGCTCTTTCCGGCGCGTAGAAAGGCGACTTCCGGCGCTTTCCACTAACGTCGCGGTCGGTGCGCCGGAAGTGACGCCATCGCCGAGGGGACGGAGTCGCACGTGTGGCCCAGCGGAAAAAGATGGATGTTTGGTACCATCATCCGCCGCCGCTGCCGCCTCCTCCGTTTCCAGCCTGGGGCGCCGCTGGGCACTGGCAGCCGGGACCCCCCGGCCCTGGCACTGGGCCTCGCCTCAGCCTCCACCGCCACACCCAGGTCGGTTTCAGCCCCGAAAGTCCCATGACACCCTTGAGCGGCCTACCTCACAGGGTTGTTGTTGCTGCTGCTGCTGAGGAGGGCAATTAGGGGGAGCCGGAATCCATATGGCAGAGTCAGACTCTATTAAATTAATACTGTAATAAGAGTTACAAGAGTTCTTGATGGGCGGATCTCTACATTCTGCTCCTTCCCTCCCTCCTCTTTTACCTGAATCCCCTGTTTTCATGGGGATTTTATTATATTAAATTATTTATGTGGTTATGTTATTAATATAATTATTATGTTATGTTTATATTATAATTATTATATTATGTGGTTTGTGTGTCTATGGGATATGTTATTGGTTGTGTGTATGTATTTAATTTAATTTAATTTAAATTTAATATAATTTGTATTTTTTTTAATTTGATTTATATGCCGCCCTTCTCGGAGACTCAGGGCGGCTTACAATGCGCTAAGCAATAGCCTTCATTCTTTTGTATATTTATACAAAGTCAGCTTATTGCCCCCACAAACTGGGTCCTCATTTCACCTACCTTAGAAAGGATGGAAGGCTGAGTCAACCTTGAGCCTGGTGAGATTCGAACCAGCAGAAATTGCAGGCCGCCCTATCTCCATAGGACTCAGGGCGGCTCACAACAAATAAAAACAAACCCAATAAAAGACCTAAAATACATAAGTGTACATACATAAAATACATGAGTGTATAAATATATAGTTTAAACATATATTAAAACCCATTAAAATAATCAAAAAAACCCTCAGTCCAGGCTGGGCGATGTGAACAGCCATGTTTTTAATTCATGGCGGAAGGTGCGCAGATCAGGAGCCAACCGAAGCCCCAGGGGGAGTTGATTCCAAAGAATGGGCGTGCCCACAGAGAGAGCTCTACCCCTGGGGGCTGGCCGCCGACATTGTCGAGCCGACGGCACCTGGAGAAGGCCCTCCTTGTGAGAACGCATGTATGTTTGAAATAAAAAATAAATAAAATAAATGTATGTATATGTGTGTGTGTGTGTGTGTGTGTGTGTGTGTGTGTGTATAAAACACCAATATATCCATATACAATATTCAGTGATGCGGTGACCTAGAGGTGGAGCTCTCGCCTCACAATCCGGAGGCTGTGAGTTCGATCCTAGGTAGAGGCAGATATTTCTCTCTCTCTTGGCACACTGAGAATATATCTGCTGAACAAAACTCCGCATTGGCGACAGGAAGGGCATCCAGCCAGTAAAACACTCTCCATTAGCTAGCTCCATTCAGTTGCCCAGGCTCCACCCCGCAAGGGATAATGGGGTTGTTAAAAGAGGAATGATATCTATATCTATATATAATATATCCAGTGATGGGATTCAAGTAATTTAACAACCGGTTCTCTGCCCTAATGATTTCTTCCAACAACCAGTTTGCCAAACTGCTCAGAAAGTTAACAACTTCGGTTCTCCCGAAGTGGTGCGAACTGGCTGAATCCCACCACTGAATATATCTATATACAATCTATATATATATACTAACTATATTTGTCTGTGCGCATATCTATATAAACTATATATACTGCTCATAAAAATAAAGAGAACACAAGCAGAAGACATCCGAGATCTGAATGAATGAAATAGCCTTATTAAATACTTTGTTCTTTACATACAGTAGTTTATACACTGCTCAAACAACTAAAGGGAACACAATACTACTGTATGTAACGAACAAAGTATTTAATAAGGCTATTCATTCATTCGGATGTCTTCTGCTTGTGTTCCATTTATTTTTTTGAGCAGTGTATATAAACTCTATATATTATATATAACACCCATAAATCTATATATACTATATGTGTGTGTATACACACTCACATATATACATACATACATATAGGCACATGACCGATAGCATATCCCATAAACACAAATCACAGTAAAATCCCACACAAAATATGGGATTTAAGTAAAAGGTGGGGAGGGAAGGGTGGAGCAGAATGTAGAGAGGGAAGATGGCATCAGCTCATCTATAACTATTATAATTATTGTTACAATATTAATAATAGTCTACCTATGGATCCATGTGTTGTTATACATACATACATATTCCAAGCTCTAACACACATGGATGCATTCGCACACACCCCCACACACACATATAAAATCACAGTAAAAATACAGGCTATAACGAAAAGGGAGCAGAATGTATAGGGAGAGATGGGAATCTGCTATTTGTCTCATATTTGTGTGTATGTATCTGTATATTCATTATCTATCTTATCTAGTTTTTATTATTTTCAATGTTGCAAACTCCTCAGAGTTGCCTAGCAACTAGATGAGCAGCAAACAAATTTTAATGCATCCTTTATGGGAAAGTTGAGTTTATGCTCAGGGTTTACGGTGCTTTCCTTTCCTGAATAGAATTGCATTTATGTTTCTATTCTATTTCTTTTTATTTATTTTGTAACCCTTAATTCCAACTGAAGGCAGACATCCTCATTTTGGTGAAGACTGGCAGGTGAAACAAACTGGACTGCCACAAGCTGGAGCCTGTCAAGGCAGGAAGCACAGACAGAAGGTATTTCATTGCAAGTTGAGAGCAAATTGTATGGAGCCACTTTCGTTTGTATTTCTGATTTCAACGAAAGGAACACAGACGTTTTCATAAGCATGCTGTAGACAGAAAGAACCCTGTGGATGCAGTGGTTAGAAGTTCGATCCTGACTGGCTCAAGATTGACTCAGCCTTCCATCCTCCCGAGGTCAATAAAATGAGAACCCATATTGTTGGGGGCAATAGGCTGACTCTTTAAACCGCTTAGAAAGGGCAGTAAAGCACTATGAAACGGTATATAAGTCTTAAGTGCTAATGCTATTAAGCTGTTTGTATCAGCCCTGGAGGCCATCTTTTTCTTTGGATCTTCAAGGCTGCCACACTTAGTGCTGTGGGAAACTGGGAGGGGGGATTGTATCGAGTTGTAGAGATATCTAGCCACAATAACTTGACTCTGGGAGTCCAGGACATTCTGCCTCCACCTGGAGTGGCATGACTGGGAGTCCTCTCCACTTGGGACGGCTTAACACTTTTTTTTTTTAATGTTTTTAATAGCTTTGTTATTGTTCTTTTCATTTTGGGGCCAAACATATATATATCTTTTTAAATTGGTTTTAATGTTTGTATTTATGTTTTTACTTTGGCTGTACACCGCCCTGAGTCCTTCGGGAGAAGGGCAGTATATAAATTTGAAAAATAACTAACTAACTAACTAACTAACTAACTAACTAACTAACTAAATAAATAAATAAATAAATAAATAAATAAATAAATAAATAGATTGGACCATGTGATGGACATGTGGGTGCAGGGGAAGGGACTTGGGACTTTCTGTTGTGTGGGGAAAACCTGGAAGCTTTCAGATTTGGGTTTTCCCAGATGTGCCAAAATGACATCTCTAATAAAATGGAACTTTGAGGAACTTCTAGCCTCAGAGTCTTCCCTTGTTGGGGCTGTTCCTTGGAACCCTGACATTTTGGTATTTTTACTATCCTTATGTATTTATCCCAGTTTTGTAATTCTTAGCATTGTGGACCTAGGAACAATAGCGTATGTGGCAAATACTCCCTTGTTATGAAAAAGAAAAGTTGACTTTGCAGGTTCATCTAGGATGAACCTTTGTAACTGTTGGGTTCCTTTTCCTGCTACTGAGGAAGAATGAAAATAAAGCAATTGGAATGGTCCCTCACTAGCCTTTCATGATGTTGTCATGCTAAGCTACAGTATCATTTAATTCCAATAGATTTCTCTGCCAAGAGGAAATCAACCAGAATGTAGAGTTTCACGGAAGTTCGTGTTTATTTATGTATTTATACATACACTTATGACTGAATGACTGTAACCTTGTTGCTGGTATACTTAAGATTTATATTGACTGTTTCCTAATATGATTTATTTGCTTATTTGTATCCTATGACTATCATTAAGTGTTGTACCTTATGATTCTTGACGAACGTATCTTTTCTTTTATGTACACTGAGAGCATATGCAAGAAAGACAAATTCCTTGTATGTCCAGTCACACTTGGCAATAAAGAATTCTATTCTGTTCTGTTCTGTTCTATTCTATTCTATTCTATTCTATTCTATTCTATTCTATTCATTCTATTCTATTCTATTCAATTCTATTATTCTATTCTATTCTATTCTATTCTATTCTATTCTATTCTATTCCCTTCCTTCCCTTCCCTTCCCTTCCCTTCCCTTCCTTTCCCTTATTCTATTCTATTCTATTCTATTCTATTCCTATTCTATTCTATTCTATTCTATTCTATTCTATTCTATTCTATTCATGAATTTATTTGCCAACCATCTCGTTTTAAGTGACTCTGGGCAGCTTCCAGTTTATTTGGCTTATAATTGATGTAAAGCAGGATTTAATCCATCAGTTAATTGGATTACTTGATTTATATACCACCAGTGCAATGGAAAAGAATATTCGAGTTGGTAGAGAATATTCGAGTTAGTAGAGAAGTACAAAGTATTAGATCTCACAGAGGAAGACATCTTGACTCCTGTGAACAACCCAGTGGCAAATTCCTTTTCCAGTTACAATTCTTGGTTCACATGTAACACCCAAGAGTTTGTTAAAGTGAAACCAGGCTCTGCTTTATTTCTCCTCCTGGCTACTGAGATGGACGTGAATAATCCTAGAAGTATACATGAACGTCATTCTGTTTGTACATCTGGGACTAAACTATTTGTGCTTGTGTTTGGTTGTTTTGATAAAGTCACAAAAGGAACAAATTGCACTCGGCACACACCCTTTCCTTCAAGGATGGCTGCCATAAGATTGAAGCTTTTTCTTTATGCTTTGATTAACTGCGGATTTGCACTTTGTCCAAATGCTAAATCGTACTTAATTTTAAACAATGGATCTTTGAAAACAAACTAGTTTCACAGGTCATCATTGGAAGTTGTTTTGTTTCACTAAAACAGTTCAGATCAGGGGCACTTTTATTACAGCAGCGAGCAAAGCAAAAAGGGAAGCAAAGATGAGTGCCAGACTAGAAAAATGGGAGACTGAGAATTCTAGTCCCAAAAGCCAACTGGGTGACTCTGGGCCAGTTCCTCTCCCTCAGCCCAGTCCACAGGGTAGCAGTTGTGGGGAAAACAGGAAAGAGCAAAATGTGTGTTGGACATGTTCGCTGTCTTGAGTTATTTATAAAAATAATAAAAGCAGGATACAAATGAGTAAATAAAAAATAAAAGATTCTAGACTATCACTATAGAATGGAATGGAATAGAGCAGAATAACTTTATTGTCACTTTGAACGTACACTAATTGGCATAGGTTAAAAATGCAATTTCGTTGCCTACAGCTCTTAAAGGGTCACCGCCTCCAATTTTACCCTACATAAAAATGACAAGATAAATAAATAAATACAAAATTATGCATATACCCACATATATTATATGACACAGAGAAACAACACAGTCTAGTTCGGGTGTATAGATGCACATGGCGAGAAAAAAGAATCTTGTGAGTTTACCAAAGCTGTTACAGGATCTGATAGGCCTGCTAGAACTACTTTGAAACCTCCTCCCAGAGGGGAGCAACAGAAACAGACCATAAAGTGGGTATGTGGGGTCTCTAACGTTGCTTTGAGCTCTAAGCAAGTAGCACTTGTATCCTGAATAAAGGGAAGTGAGCTTCCTATAATCTTCTCGGCTGTCCTCACTACTCTCCGTAGGGACTTTCTCTTTGCTGGAGACATGTTGGCAAAGGGGTCCTGTGCTCATTTTGTCCAACCATTCTTTCAAAGGTTTGCTCTGGTTGCTTTCATAGGGCTCATTCTTGGAATAAACCATGGTTTGTCATGTTGCCTGAATGGCACTTTCGTAAGATTACATTTAATGGTTGGTGCCATTTGTTCAACTTCAGTACAAGCATCCTTTGAGCAGCTCTGTGGTGCCTGAGATGGCATGTTGTTGTTGTTTTTAATTCATTGTAAGGCCCTTGAAGTAGTGCAGTCCAACAATTCATCATTAACGCCTCTTTTCTTCTTTTTATAGAACAAAAAGAGAAAGGAACCTGTTTTTACCCATTACTGTGATACGTGCGATCGTGGCTTTAAAAACAAGGAGAAATATGAGGAACATATCTCTCAGCACAAGCAGGTGTGTGTGATAATAGCTGCAGGCAGCATTAGTTGCATAAATTATTGAATAATCATGGAGTCTTTCAAAGCTGGCACGGAAGCTTGAAACACAAGCCTGTTTCACACATAAGCACTGCAAGCCAGTGATTTAACTGTGGTTTGCCCCACCTTGGGTGATAATTTTCCGTTCAGCTGGAAGAGAAGCCCCCTTTCCAGAAATGGCATTTGGTGTCCCAGCTAACCTCAGTCAGTTACTTCTGGTTTCTGTAGAATTGCAGCTACATATGATGAGAAAGATTCCTGAAGTGACCCACACTTATATAGTTTTAAAATTAAAATTTATTGCGGTCTTCAATGTCAAGATTTTGGAATAAGGATTGGTACAGATTGCTCAATTAAGCTGGGACTAAGCAGCAAACTTCCCTATAATTAGAGAATTAATCCATTTTGGAAAAAAGAGGAAAACCAGTATCAGTGAGGATGCAGAAGAATTAAAAGGGAGAAAAAAAGGAATCAAATTGTAATTTCAACATGTGGTGCTGCCACCTTTTTAGCTTGCTAAACTGATTTGGAATATTTCTCTTCTTTCAGTGCACTGAAGATGGCTGTAACTTTAGAGCACATGAGAAACTGGTTCAGATCCACTGGAGAAATGTACGTATTTTTGCCTGGTTCAGGTTGATAACTCTTTTCTAAGAATTTTCTTCTGAGTGTTTCTACCTTACACATCTTGTTTTTTTGGAATTTGACCAACATAGCTGCAAATGTTTGTTAAACGGCTACAGCGAATAAATAGCAGAACACTTTTATGGAGCTGTTTTGAAGGCTGTGCAATGAGCTTTAGGTATTACGAAATGTATGGTCAAGTCTTGAGACTGATTGCATACGGGAAGTCCTCAACTTAAGACCACAATTGAGCCCAAAATTTATGTTGTTAAGGGAGAAATTTGTGAAGTGAGTTTTGCCCCATTTTATCGACCGTTCTTGCCACGGTTGTTAAGTGAATCACTGCAGTCATTAAATCAGTAACACAGTTGTTAAGTGAATCTGGCTTCCCCATTGATTTTGCTTGTCGGAAGGTCACAAAAGGGAAATCACACTGCAACTGTCATAAATAGTTGACAAGCTCCATTTTTTATTTTTTATTTTTTGAGTTTTAAATACATCAGTCTTCTCTCCAACATTTTTTTTTATTTATTCAGCAAGCTTCATAAGGGATTGAACTGCCTTCCGTCACTGTGGACAAGAGAAACGCAGTACAGCAGTGGCCAAAATTGTGGAAACCTTTTGGGAAAAGTGTATTTTCTAAAACTAGCTAATAACATCCCTTTTTTTTTGGAGTAGTACCATAAAATTATATATTAATGGAAAGATAAATTAATCAAGAATATAATGCAATAGCTTTTATGAAGGATTTGCTATTAGAATAGCAGTTACAGTATAAAGAAGAAAAGTGAAACGCATAGAAAAAATGAGATCTACAAAAATTATCGCCATAGAAAAAATGAGATATACAAAAATTACCACCATGTCAGTTAATTCTTAGCTGGGTAATCTTTAGCATGAATGACGGCCTTACAAAGTCTTCCCATGGAGTGAACCAAGTCTTTGAGTTCTGCAGCTGTTATCATGTGAAACCAAGATTGAAGGATGGCTTCTATTAACTGGGTTTTATTGCTGGGTCGCTTCTGACTAGCAAGTTTCTTTAGTCAGTTCCATAGATTTTCAATTGGGTGAAGGTCTGGGCTATTCCCAGGCCATTCCAGCAGTGGAATAGGATTGTCTTGAAACTCCAAAAAAAAAGTGGTGTTATTAGCCATCAAACCTCAAAAAATACACTTTTCCCAAAAGGTTTCCACAATTTTGGCCACTACTGTAGAAACGGGAGCTATTGGCGTTATTTTCTTATTTTACACAGTACTTTTTTTACAAATAATTTTAAAAGAGGTGCACGTTTCCGAATGCTTTGAGGTGTCTTTGTTTGTGTCTTCCTCCTCAGATGCATTCTTCTGGTGCCAAGCGGATCAAATTAGATACCCCAGATGAAATTGCAAGATGGAGAGAAGAGAGGAAAAAGTGAGTAGGTCTTAGTCGGTAACGATACGAATGCTGGATTATTAATAGCAGAAAAGGAGGGTAGGTGGGGTTTTTTCCCTCCTAAATTTCTCTTGCTTCCATCTCTCTGCCTGCAAATTTGCAGGAGGTAAATTTCAATTTGCAGGATTGATTGATTTTTTTCCCCAAGCAATCGCAGGTAGACCTCAACTAACAACCAGAACTGATTTCAAAATTCCCGTGGCTAAGCGAGACAGTTGTTAAGTGAGTTCTGCCCTGTTTTACGACCTTCCTTGCCACCGTTGTTAAGCGAATCACTGCAGTTGTTCAGTTAGCGGCACGGTTGTTAAGTGAATCTGGCTTTCCTGTTCACTTGGCTTGTCAGGTCACAAAAGGGGATCATGTGACCCCGGGACACTGACACCGTCGTAAATATGAGTTTAGCTTTTAGCTGTGTTAGGAAAAACGGCCACGCTGCGTCCTGAATGGGAGAAAGCAACTGTTTTTAACAGATGTTTGGTAAATCAACATTTTCCTTCAAATTGTACCAAATTGCTAATAAAAACTTGTGATAGATAAATAATAAATAAATAAATAAATAAATAAATAAATAAATAAATGTCAGTTGCCAAGCGCCCGAATTTTGATCTCGTGACCATGGGGATGCTGTTGTAACTTCAAATGGTCACTAAACGAACGGTTGTAAGTTGAGGACTCTCTGTAATAGAGGAAAGCTGTCTCAGTTAGGGTTATGATGAGCCCCAAAAATGACAATGGATGTAGCCATTTGATCAATGGTGAGGCTGATTGTCAAACTTACTAAGCACTTTATTGTCCTAAAATTGGTTGCTAATTCAGCCTCCTCTGTGTCTCGCTGTAGAAATTTCCCGACTTTGGCAAATATTGAAAAGAAGAAAGCATTAAAGGTGGAAAAAGAATGTCGGGGAGAAGTGCTGACAACTTTACAATTTGGGTAAGACTTCTTGTAACCTCTTGGCTCTTCTTAGTAAACCAGCTTTTCATCTTTTTGAAAAGATGAAAAAAACACTTGGGTAACATGGGAAGCATTTTAAAATGGCTGCTGTTTGGGGGATATAGCTGTTCTCAACAAAGATGATTAGGGGACTCAAGGATAAAACATATAAGGAACAGTTGCTGGAACTGGATATGTCTAGTCTTACGAAACGAAGGACTAGGGGAGACATGATAGCAGTCTTCCAATATCTGAGGGGCTGCCACAAACATGAGGGAGTGAAGCTATTCTCCAAAGCACCTGAGGGCAGGACAAAAAACAGTGGGTGGAAACTCATCAAAGAGAGAAACAACTTAGAATTAAGGAGAAATTTCCTGACAGTTAGAACAATGAATCAGTGGAACAACTTGTCTCCAGAAGTTCTGAATGCTCCAACACTGGAAGCTTTTAAGAAGAGGTTGGATAACCATTTGTCTGAAGTGGTGTAAGGTTTCCTGCCTAAGCAGGGGGTTGGACTAAGGTCCCTTCCAACTATTCTATTCTATTCTATTCTATTCTATTCTATTCTATTCTATTCTATTCTATTCTATTCTATTCCATTCCATTCCATTCCATTCCATTCCATTCCATTCCATTCCATTCTATTCCATCCTCTATTCCATTCTCTATTCCATTCTCTATTCCATTCCATTCTTCTCCAGATGGGTACAGGTAAAGAACCCTTTAAAACCCACTCCAGAACCAAATCTTCCATTTTTAAAGATTCATGTACGCTGCTCTCCTGCCAGAAACTGGCTAAAGGAGTGTGGAGCCTCACTCTTCATTCGTGTTGTCGTTTTTCCGGATTGAGCGTTTCTCAAATTCTTTGATTCTTGGCTAGAAATGTGAACGTTTCAAAAGGTTTTGTAAAAAAAAAAAAAAAAAAAAAAAAAAAAAAAATCAGGAATCCGGGTGTTTGTGAAGGATGGCATTTGCGCGTCTCACAATTAATCCAAGACGTGGCCTGGAACCAACGTTCTCTCTTTCAGCAAGATGAAGGGAATGTGGAAACCTCCAAACGAAAGTTCTAGGCAGCAAGGAAACGCACAGCGGAGAACAAATCAGCGCTGGAATAAATCTAGGAATGTTGCTAATAACAAACTGAACTCTTCGGCTGGGACCAGTTCCGACAACCATGAAGCTGAGGAGAAGGTTAGAAGAGGATCTTGCGGAGATGCAGAAGGCTCCATGACTGATAAAGACCCTTTGAGCATTCTGGCCAGCAGCGATCCTGGTAAGATAACTTCTTTTTACAGTTTTTGTTTACAGTTAGTGAAGCAACGACAGAAGAAATCATGTTTTCTTTCACTAATAAACAAAATAAACCCGGTGCCATTATTTTTGCATATTTTAATTATTATTTTTTTAAATGATGCACGTTGTTGCTTTGCGCAATCAGCTGGAGAGAAGCTCCTTTTAGAAGCTCCGAATTTAAGAGAAATTTGGTTGAAGGAAGGGTAGCAGTAGAGAATTGGGGATTTGAGTTAGCTGTGTGAGATTGATAGCATTTGTAATCGCATGAGGAAAAGAAGTAGTCCGTCCGAATGAATTCTTCAGCGTCTAGGAGAGATCGAAATAGCTCAGGGTGTTGGGACTCTGATTTAGAGGGAGACTATGTGAATAAACTAACCCATCACTGTAAGAAAGCTTGTTTGGGTTAAGAGAAGAATAATTGGTTTAATAAACCAGGAGAAGCTTCAAAAGCCAGATGAACATCAGTGATTGTCCTGCAGAAGAGAGAATTTCACAGCTACAGTTAAGGAAATCTAAAGGAAACACATTAAATAAGCTAATAGAAACAAGGCTTTTACTTTTTAAATAACGAATTACTTAACAATATTTATAAGCAACCCCAGATGGGGCTGCGGGATGGTTGCATTGTATTTAGAGAGAAGTTATTCCAAAATCTTGTTTTTATTCATTTTTTAAAAATGTTTTAACCCGTAGTAAGGTCACCTGTTATCAAACGTTGTTATCACATCCTACATTCCTGAGGGAAAGGTTGTGTCATCACACCATTTTTATAAGCCTGTGTATGATTTCCAGAGGGTGTGAAACTCAGTGTATCTTGTGGTTTTGCTGCATTCCTTCACTCTGGCTATGTCGGCCCATAAAAGTTTCTTATTGCCTTGTCCATCTCGAAACTTCATTCCTGATTTCAGCGGGCATTTCCCCCCCCAACACATCCAGCCCATGAGCCTTTCCAGAGAAATCCTGTTGTGACCCAGGCCCAAGTAGGTAGTATTAAACACAAACAGTTCGAAAACAAACAGACTTTATTAGAGCAGCTGAGAATTAACTCATTCTTAGCACAGTCCAAACAAAATCAAACAAAGTCTTCATAAAGTCTTATCACCAACCTTGGTATAATTAGGCAAACTGCCAAAGGCTTCTCTTGGCAAAAGTTCAGGAGCAGAGGATGCCAAGCAAGATAAGAACCAAGTTTATCAATGTTGTTTTCCGACAAAGAGGCCAAGAGCCGTTGCTGGTCTTTTAAGCCTTCTGGGAGGGGCCAATCATCTCTTGGCCTTACTCCTGAGTCGTCCTCTCTGCTTTAGCTGCTCCTGCCTTCTGGCAGCTCTTCTCATGTGTGCACTAGGAACAGGCTCCTCCTGTTCCTCTGCCTCTCTGCTGTCAGCCTCTGGAGGCTCCGGAGCCTGCGCATCACTCCCCGATGGCCCTGGCCCCATCTCTGCCTCCGATGCAGCGCCCTCATCCTGGCCTTCCCCAGCCTCCAGGACTGGCCCTCAGCCTCATCGCTGTCCTACTCTGCTGCCAGCTCCGCAGGCTGCGGGCAGACCACAACAAATCCCAAAGTGTCTACTCTCCTGCCACTCCCTTGTATTTCCCCGTTCTTTATTTTTGTGGCCAGCTTTTGCCAAAGCGTTGCCTTCGCTCGCTTACCATCTGCGTGTCGAATAAAGCCGTCAATAAATAATGTCTGTCTCTTCCCAGAATCCGACAAAGAGGCGGGAACTCCCAAAGATCAAGCTTTGGAAACTAGTATCGTTCCGAAACAGCTGACCTCAGCCCTGAGCTCGCTGGTGGTGAACTATGGCAGCTTGTCCGAAAGTGAGAGTGAACAGGAAGGTAAGCCCACTGAGCTGCCTTCCATCCATCTTGGGTGTTTACGGAAGCAGGTGAAATAAAAAAAATGTGGAAAATGTCCCCAGTATTGTTGGGGGCAAGACACTGACTCTGTAAACCACTTAGAGAGGGCTGTAAAAGCAATGTGAAGCAGTATATAAGTCTGTGTGCTATTGTTATTGTTATTGTTATTGCTTGCTTTCCTTCCTTCCTCTCTCTCTTTTCTCCTTCCTTCCTTTGCTTCCTCCTACCTTCTTTCTCTCCCTCCCTTTTCCGCTTCCTTCCTTCATGCCTGCCTCCCTCCTTCCCTCCCTCACCAGGGTTTTCTAAAATAATGTTGCACCCATTTTTTTTTTTTTTGAAATTTTATTTATTTATTTTTAAACATAAAACATAAAACAGCATCTTTTTAGAGCAAGGGTTTGATCCGGGATAAAATAAGTATAAATTCCAAATTTCATCAGTTAACATCTTAAAGGGAAAAAAAAAGAAGAACAAATCTAAACCCAATTTTTATCATTCAATCTAACATCTTATTCTAACATTTAATATTTTATTATGTAATCACCCTAAATCTTAAACTTAAAATCTAAACAGCTCTTTATAATATTCATTTATCATTTTAACGATCAGTATTTCATGTATTCTCCTTACTTCAAAGATCCAAATCAATTCAATGTTTCTTTTAACTCACGTCTAATAATCAACATAAAGTATTTTATTCCTCTCTTAAGAACATTTCAAACTCAGTAACTGTTCTTCAAAGATATCTCCTTCGCTCCTCCTAGGTTTATTTTTAGCTGGATTGCAGCTTAATTAGCTGGTTTCCAGGGATGCTTTCCTCCACTCCTAACCTTATTTGTTGGCTGGAATGTTGCACCCATTTTGAAGTGTGCAGTTTTACCCTAAGATTTTCCCAATGTTTTTTTTGCAAGCTCCTCAGTGCTCTCTAAGCTGAGTGGTTTTCTTGTAGACGTTTCACTACCCAGCCAGGTAACATCATCAGTGCAAGAAAACCACCAAGATTGACCCCACAGTTCAACCTTGAGCTACAAATGTTCCTTTCTGTCATTAGCAAATAGTTAATTTTATCTGCAGGAATAAGGAGGGATTGTCCATATTAACATTGTTTCTCCTTTTTATATGCAAGTAACAAATATCCACCTTATGCAGTCACAGTTTCTAAAAGCAACAGTTTCTAAAAGAAACATCTAAATTACAAAATATCTAAACTATAAAAACTAGGGTACTTTAGTTCCCCTGAAAAAAAAAATTGGGAGGACTGTTCACCTTAATGTTTCATTATGGACCCACGAAGTAGGTTATGCACCACTATAATGACTGATCTATGAAAATGACATATTCAGGCCAAAATATTTTTTCATACATGAATGCATGCACGACAGACTTGGAGAATTTACTGTGCCCAAAGTGAATAGCATTTGTTTAGCTGCTTTTAGATGAAGATTAAGACTAATTTATGGAGCACATCAACTCCTACCATCCATGCGGTGATTTAAAAAAAAAAAAAAACACCAGATGGAAGGAACTTGGGTTTTGTGCTATCATCAGTTGATGAATCTGTACTGTATCAAAAGTTATCTGAGCATAAAATAATTCTACATGAAGAAACTGTGACCGATAGGTTTGTATGATGTTCAGTCTTCAAACTGTTTAATTTTAAACCTATAACGGGACATGTTATAAAAGTTGATAAAATAGGGTGCATGGATAGCCTTGATTTTTGTTCTTTCTAAGAAATATGAGTTAAGTTGAGCTTTAATTTTGTGATAGCCTGTGTTAACTATAACAGCAGTAACTTGATCCATTCGATGCAAATGAAACCTGCTCTATAATGCTCATAATTTAATATTTTTTCACAGCTGTTTGTTATTTTGAGCCCTTGCTTATTAATTCATTCCTCAATCTTTTCTTTTAGAGTCCACCGCTCCCAGGGCAAAGACGGTAACTGAAAATGATGACGCCATTCTCAGAAAGATCCCTGGGTCTTCAAATAACTCTCAAAGCCGTGAGCACGAGGCTCGCCAAGAAACTCTCTCTAACCCACATAACGGGGCCACATTAGGGAGATCAAAATCACATTCAAGGAACACGAGGAATCAGAAAAGGCAGAAGAAAACGCTCCCGGCATTGCGAACCCACCATCCAACTTTGCTAGAAATGGTAAGAGGCCTATTACTTTTGGTATTTTTTTTTTCCCAGGTGGTCCTGCACTTACAACAGTTCGTTTAGTGACCGTTGGAAGTTACAATGGCACTGAAAAACTGTGACCATTTTTCATACGATGGTAGAATAGGAAGAGGAAGAAAAGAGAAGAGAAGAGAAGAGAAAAGAAGAGTAGAGTAGAGTAGAAGAGAAGAGAATTACAGAATAGAAGAGAAAATTACAGAAGAGAAGAGAAAAGAAAAGAATTATAGAAGAGAGTAGAGTAGAAGAGAAGAGAATTACAGAATAGAAAAGAATTACAGATGAGAAAAGAAAAGAATTATAGAATAGAATATAAAGTAGAAGAGAAGAAAATTACAGAAGAGAAGAGAAAAGAATTACGGAAGAGGAAGAGAAGAGAAGAGAAGAGAAAAGAAAAGAAGAGAAACACTGATTTAAACCATTTCAAGGCACTTTAAAGAATCCAGCTAGCCCAGAGGTTGGCAGAAATATTATTTATTGATTATTAAAAAATTTTGCTGCTCATCTTGCTGCAACAGCAATCACTCTTAGTAACTTTCTAAAAAGATTAGTGCATCCAGTTTTGGTCACCACATTACAAAAAGATGTTGAGACCTTGGAAAATATGCAAAGAAGATTAAGTAAGATGATTAAAGGCCTGGAGACTAAAACACATGAAGAACTGTTGCAGGATTTGGGTTTGGCTAGTCTAGAGGAAAGGAGGACCAGGGGGGACGTAAGAGCAATATTCCAGTATTTGAGGGGCTGCCCCAAAGAAGAGGGAGTCAAGCTATTCTCCAAAGCACAAGAGGGCAGGAAAAAGAAGCAATGGATGGAAACGAATCAAGGACTGAAGCAACCTGGAATTAAGGAGAAACTTCCTAACAGTGAGGGCAATCAACCAGTGGAACAGCTGGCCACCAGAAATCATGGGCACTCCATCACTGAAGGTTTATACGAAGAGTCTAGATAGTCACTTATCTGAAATGGTATAGGGTTTCCTGCTCAAGCAAGGAGCTGGACTAGAAGACCTCCAAGGTCCCTTCCATCTCTATTCTGATTGATTGATCAGATTGAATCGGGACTTAGACTAGACCTCCTGAAAAGCAGAGACTTTAGCATTATTCCAATATATCAGAAGTAAAACGGGACGTATAAAAAGGTCTCTTATGGAAATGTTGATTTAAGCAGTCTTTTCCCCCCCAAATTCTTTCCTCAAAATATATATTACAAAACCAGGTTGGGTTTTATCCAGTATATCCAGGCAGACTGTTTGGTTTGGGCTGAGCACGTTGTGTTTATTCAGCAAACTGCTTTTGAGCACGATATGCGAGTTTAGCTGTAGAGTTCAAAAATCTACTTTGTTGGAAACCTGATAAACTTGAAATCTCTTGTTGACGTTCTGTACCTTTTTATGGCTGGAAGGCAGGTGACCAGCTTCCTTCTAACCCTGCCTGTTCAGAAAACCCTCAGAAGGTTTATTTATTTAATTTGTTGGTTCGATTTATATATGCCGCCCTTCTCCGGAGACTCAGGGTGGCTTACAATGCGTTAAGCAAAAGCCTTCATACTTTTGTATATACCTGCTTAGTAGGGCTTTTGGCCCCCCCTAAGTGGTGTTCTTTTTTTTATATATACAAAGTCAGCTTATTGCCCCCACAATCCGGGTCCTCATTTTACCTACCTCGGAAGGATGGAAGGCTGAGTCAACCTTGAGCCTGGTGAGATTTGAACTTGCAGTAATTGCAGGCAGCTGGTGCTACTTAACAGCACTTTAGTCTGCTGCGCCACCAAGGCTCCAGGCTGTGCCTCGATTTACAAACCGTGGGCTTTTCGAACCGATGGCCTCGACTCAGGTTTATCACATGCATAGCAGGAACTATAAATGGCAAAGAAAAGCAGCTGTTAAAATTCATGGCAAAAAAAAAAATCTCTCCGGCATCGTCAATATCGCAAGAAAAAAAGATCTGTACAGGATGTTACGAGTAATTGAAAAACTATGGGATAGTAATGTCATACGATTACAGGTAGTCCTCGACTTAACAACAGTTCATTTACTTAATAACCGTTCCAAGTTACAACGGCACTGAAAAAAGTGACCTCTGACCGTTTTTCGCACTTACGAACTTTGCAGAAGCTTCACGATCACGTGATCAAAATTCAGACTCTTGGCAACTGGCATGTACTTACGACAGTTGTAATGTCCTGGGGTCACGTGGTCCCCTATTGCGACCTTTTGACAAGCAAAATCAACGGAGAAGCCAGGTTCACTTAAAAACATGTTACTAACTGAACTGCAGTGATTCACTTAACCGCTGTGGCAAGAACGGTTGTAAAATGGGGCAACTCAACTGTTTCATTTATCGATGGAAAATTTGGGTTCACTTGTGGTCGAAAGTCGAGGAATACCTGTATTTTGCACCACTGTCCCTAAGGTGCTTTTTTCAGGAGGCAACTGGACTTTCTGGTTTTTCTTTGAAGACGTTTCTCTTATCATCCAAGAAGCTTTTTCAGCTCTGACTGGATGGTGGGGAATGGAAGGATTTATACTCCTTGCAGACAGCTGGTCAGTTGCATCCTTTTAGAGGGTCGTTGAGGCCACTTGGAGGTTTACCTGTGTCCTCAGGGTCACCTGAGTGGTGCAAATGGTTCCTGTAGTCTGCAATTTTTTCCTCTGCAAATCCATTCCTCCTCCCACCCCATTCCAAGAGTCTTCATCCCAAATTGTATAGCTCGAAGTCTGTAGAGATTCTCCGTCATTCAGGGCATGGTTGTCCCAAAGGTGCTGTTTTCAGGAAGCAAAGAAAAACCAAGAAAGTCCAGATGCCTCCTGAAAAAGCACCTTTGGGAGAACCAAGACCTGAATGACGGAGAAGCTCTACAGATGTTTCTCCACCATTGTTTTAATAGAGCTTCTTGGGGATTAATATATACCGTCTACTTTTTCTTCCTTCCCTGCAGCTTTTAGCAAAAGACATACGGCACGAAAGGAATGTGATCCTGCAGTGTATCCGCTACATCCTACAGAACGACGGCCTTGGACTGCGCTTAGGAAGTCATTCAGACGCACTGTCGGACCGCGAGCTAACTCCTGAGCACGCACAGAATTTGGCAGCAGTCGAACCTTGCCAATTAATCCACCCTCTCGATTTTGACCCGAACAAAACACAACCGAATGAAGTATTTCAAAGCGAGGAAATCTCTGCGTTTCCTGCTGTGGATGAAGATATTTGGGAATCTACAGAGATCGCTTCTGAAGGCAACTAATCTCTTTTCTTTTCTTTTCTTTTTTTAACTTACGCGTGGGTAACAGTTACCCATCCATCTTCGGATGCTCGCTGAAACTCCTCAGACTGTCCGTCGCATCCAAACGATTTCCCTACGTTTAAATTAACTCTTGATGAACAACTAAAACTCACGTTAGGCCTTGTGACGTTACGATCTTGCAATATTGTTCTTCAGGGATTCATTTTTTACTTACTGTAAGTGTGAATAAAAATCGTATTAATACTGTTTTATTTACCTTTTATGTCAGGGATGGCCATAAGGTCTGCTCAAAAGTCCGAGCAGCAGCCACAATGGAAGCTCTGTCTATATTTGAAGGGTGTCGCCCTCGACATAACATCTTTGCCCTGCTTTCAGAATTACCGACTTCCAAAATACCAGCAGTTTCACATGATACTAAAAATCTTTATCAGCATCAAGCTTTACTTATTAAAAGTACTTATTTACTTACTAAAAGGAAAACATATACAAGAGAAAGGCTTCAGAAACTGCTTTTCTGTGCCTTAGCTTGAAAATAATGGGCGCATTCTGCAAGTGGTTTGGGTTTTATCATTTGTTGTTCCTTTATTCTCATTCCTGTGATGGAAAATGTTCACCAGGGAGCAAAAACACTCAGTTAAAGTGTTTATCTGCTGAGATTAGAGTGTGTTGATCAGGCAATGTTCCCTGCCCCTCCTTATGCTCTGGTTTTAAAGTTGCAATACATGCAACAACTGTTTGAAATGAGAGAATGCAGGATAAGAAAATAAAAATGAACTCTGGTCCTTATAAATATTTGGACAGGGATCTTCAGAATATTCTGAATGTGAAGAGTTTTGCCCTCAAAAAAAGACTGCCACAAATAAATCTAAACTGAGTGGGACGTAGCTCAGCGCATGGTTGAATTTTTGGGAGTTAGTGCTGTACTTTGATTTTTTTTTATTGTGAATTTTTTGCTTGTAATTTAATATTCAGGATGCTTTTTGAAGAGAAATGGAAACAAACCTCAACTGCAATCCAGAGTTTGAAGCAATATATATATATATTGCTTCAAATATATATATATGCATATTGCTGACTTCTTCGTTATTTTCACAGCTAACAAGTCCGAATAAACATTGCATTCTCTATATTGTATCTATAGGGCACAACTGGAAAATATCAAAGGATAAAATAGGCTTAAATACTTCAAGTGAGAATTAATTTCTTTTATGCAGAATGTGGAGTGTTCAAGGAAGGGCCCAGAATTCAGCCATACAAAGATGTTTATGATTTCCACCTTACTCCCAACAATTTCTGAATACCTTCACCGCAATAGGTAGCAACTCTCCTTGTTATAAATTATCAACTCTACTGGGAATTGCTGGAGGATTGGCATTCTCTGGTCCTTTTGGCGATCTCTGTGCTAATGACAATAAAAGAGGACATGGTTGATTGTTTCTATGTCTCCGGAGTTGCAAGGACATAATATTTCATGTCTGGGTGTTTAATTGTGTCTGCCGCAGAGAAAGAGCAGAAGGTAATCCATTGTGAAGAGCTCAGAAGAATTCTGATGAGTTTGCAGGTGTTCACGGTGATGAGCATTCTAGAGTCCTGTGTTAAAAGAAGCTAATTCTGCGTTCTCCAGCCTTTTGGGGGGTAACAAAAAGGAGAGAGCTAGGTCTGCTTTCAACCACTCTATTTGGCCACTTGGTAAGGTAGATCAATGTTCTTTCTGCGCCAACTCAGGAAGCTCAAACTGCCCCAGGAGCTGCTGATCCAGTTCTACAGAGGAATTACTGAGTCTGTCATCTGCACCTCCATAACTGTCTGGTTTGGTTCTGCAACCCAACAAGACAGACACGGACTTCAGAGGATCATTAGAATTGCAGAAAAAACAATTACTACCAACCTGCCTTCCATGGAGGACTTGTATACTGCACGAGTCAAAAAGAGGGCTGCAAAAATATTTACAGACCCCTCGCATCCTGGACATAAATTGTTTCAACTCCTACCCTCAAAACGACACTATAGGGCACTGCACACCAGAACAACTAGACACAAGGACAGTTTTTTCCCGAACGCCATCACTCTGCTAAACAAATAATTCCCTCAACGCTGTCAAACTATTTACTAAGTGTGCACTACTATTAAATCTTCTCATCATTCCCACCACCCATCTCCTCCCACTTAGGACGGTATGACTGCAATATGACAGAACCGGTTCAGTGACATATAGTCATCGCTACCGGCTTGGGAGAACCGGGCCGAACCGGGAGGAACCCACCACTGCCGACTGCTTCAGTGACCCCATCCAGCCACCTCGTTCTCTGTTGTCCCCTTCTTCTTCTTTTGCCCTCCATCGTTCCCAGCATTAGGCTCTTCTCCAGGGAGTCCTTCCTTCTCATTAGGTGGCCAAAGTATCTGAGTTTCATCCAGTTCTTTATGTTTTAACCTCCAGTCCCCTAATCCAATTGGCCCTTCTGAGTTTTTGTTCGTTACTTTTTGTTTTATTACTTTTAATTAATTTATCCTTATCTTCTGTATTACAAATTTTAAAAGCCTATGATGGATCTTGAGCCCAATGTCCAAGCTTCTCGCCAGGTCTAGCAGAAAGAGAGGATCTGTTGTTCTCTCTGGATTCTGTAGTTTCATTTCTGAGGATGTCAGATCTGTCCAAGGTGACCCATGTACTTCCAAAGAAGCACTTAAGATTACCCTTGTTTATAATGTAAATATAACCCGATAGGCAGCTTTGTGTTTCGAAAGTTGGGACAATTCTGTTGTCTGGATCACTGCATCCATATTAACGGCTGTCCGGATTAGTTATAAAGTGCAACTTCCTTGTTAAAACAATAAAGCTCCCAAATCACTCAAAACAAATTTCAAGGGTTTATAAACGCCCTGTATAACTTCAGAGCCACTTTATTTGAACAGACAACAACTTTAAAAAAATGTTTAGCAAAATGAATCACTAATATTTAAAGAAACAGAGTAAGAACCACTTCGGTTGCAGGCGCACTGATGCCCAGTCATGGGGGAAAAAAATCACCAACATTTCCAAATATCTTTTTTTTTTAAAGAGTTAACCCAGCATTTCCTATCAGAGGAGATAAAGAAGCAAACTTCACAATTTCTCTACTTTATGCAGCTTATGTCTCAGCTACTGTTCGATGCGTATTCAATGGATAAAGTAAATGAAAAACCGAAATGCATTTCTTTCTACATTTTAAACCCCCCCCCCAAATGGAGATATAAAAATGATATATATCCCAGATTTGGAGGCGGTAACCATTTTTAACGGAAGACGGATAACTAGGGATTGATACACAGAAACAAATCTATGTCCATCTTGCCTATGGTCTTAACACGAGTTATTTTTAAATTTTAAACCTTATGTATTTATTTTATTTTTTAAAAGTAAAAGGTAAAGGAGTCCCTGCGGATTTTTATTTCGCTCCTCATTGCCAACTATATTTATTTATATCCTGCTTTTATTTGATGCCACTCAAATAAAAGTGTGCTGTAGGGATTCAGAATAGCTTTTCCAATCCCAACTTTGTCCTTTATTATTTCAAGTAGTATTTTTTAAAAAAATAAGCAAGGTGAAGCTGTCATTTGGGGGACGGGGAGGAATCTCTTTTTCACCCTAGTTATACATTTTACATGGTTCGGAAACTGCTTAAAAACAGGAAAGAAGACGATTGCTTTTGTTCCTTGAAGTGTGTACTGTTTTTTTTCTCCTTTTCTGCTCCCAGATGTTCAAAGCAGCTTGTAAAAGGGAGCCAGCGAGGCTGAGCAGCTACAGGATTTCTTTATTAGTCAATTAGTCTCTTCTGGGGCCCCCTTCTTCCCAGAAAGTCTCCTGGGGTGCCAGGTTCAAAAGAGAACAAGCCTTGTGCTGGCCTCCTTTTTTCCATGCCTTTTCTGTTCTTGTTAATAACACCCGTTTCCCCCTCTGCTCTCCCTGGGTTCCTCTTTGCCATCAATGGGCTCACTGCAGGAACTTTGGGGAGCAGGAAGCAGGCCTCATTCCGTGTGATAGCAGTGCACAAATGTCACTCTCACACTCAGCTGCCCTGGCACTGTTTTGGGGGGAAAGGAGGGAACCCCCAAGGCTACAAACTTGGATACATGTGCACACACACACACATGCATCCATCTATCCATCTATATCGTATCTATTTCTATCGTATATCTATATCTACCTATCATCTATCAATCAATTTATCATCCATCTATCAATCTATCAATCATCCATCAATTTATCTATTATATCATCCGTCTATCAATCAATCTATCATCTATCAATCAATCCATCCATTCTATAGCTATCATATAAGATTATATCTACCTATCCATCAATTTATCTATCTAATCTATATCATCCGTCTATCAATCTATTTAATCTATCATCTATCAATCGATCTATTATCCATCCATCCTATAGCTATCATATAAGATTATATCTACCTATTCCATCAATTTATCTATCTAATCTATATCATCCGTCTATCAATCTATCTAATCTATCTAATCTATCATCTATCAATCTATCATCCATCCATCCATCCTATAGCTATCATATAAGATTATATCTACCCATTTATCAATTTATCTAATCTATATCATCCATCAACCATCAGATTGAGAAAGGAAAGTTAGAAGCCTTAAGAGGAGAAGCTCATAATTTGCGTTCCTTGGAGTCTGCGCCAGTGGTGGGATTCAGCCAGTTCACACCTATTCGGGAGAAGCGGTTGTTAACTTTCTAAGCAGTTAGGAGAACCGGTTGTTGGAAGAAATCTTATTTTGTTTTTTTTCCCACTTTACAGGGCTAATCCTGTAAGGAATTACAACATTCTGGTGTTGTTTCTAGCCCAATCTTTATTCCCCTGCTTACAGAAACTGCCTCTCCGGTTAACCCTTATTACATTGTAACAGCTAAGGCGAAGCGCCCATCGACCTGAGTGACGTTGAGTTGGCCACACCCACACAGTCACATGACCACCAAGCCACGCCTACCCAACTGATCATTAGGGCAGAAAACTGGTTGTTAAATTATTTGAATCCCACCACTGGTCTGCCCCATCAGGTTGGTTTTGACTTTTTAGCCACCTCAGAGATGGATGTTCTCCAGAGATGGATGCTCTTCTCAGTTGAGCATGACCCAGCAGGTCTTTCAACACTTTCCCATCACTGACACACATTCACAAACACACAAAAAGAGAGACTCGCATGCCTTCACCTACAAGGCAGAGTTCTGGAAAAATCCAGTATCTCGGGGTGGGGATGGGGGGACAAGGGGCTTCTTTGTTTGGGTCCTTGGTGATCTCTGAGCTTGGTGATTTCCTTGCGGTGTCACTGCGTTAAGTGTTTACCAGCTGAGCTTCCATCCTAAGACTTACGGTAGTCTGCCAGAGAACTTATCTATAGCAATAGAGATAAGACTGGTCTTGTGAGACATTGGACTACAGCGCATGTCTACATTCTTTTTTTCTATCTTCCTGATTTATACTTCCTTTGTTCGTCTCTGAGATAACTGCCGGTAAAATGTAGTTAGCTAGTTTTTTTTTACTTTTATAATAAAATGTTTCTTAGAATTCGGGTTTTCTTTCTTTGAAAGTATACAGCATGGAAAACAAGATCCATTCACCTCTAATTAATTACAGTTTCCTCAGGGGGGGAACGAGGCTGATTGACGCTTCGACATGCGGACGTTTCCTGACCAAACTGGGTAACATCATCAGTGCTAGTAGGGAGTCCTAGTTAGTACTGATGGTGTTACCTAGATGGGTCCTGAAACGTCTGCAAGAAAACCACCAAATTCAGAGAGCACCAGGGACCCCACAGCCATTGTAGTCCTCCTCCTCCTTCTCCACACGCAATCCCCCTCCCTCCTAACACTGATGATGTTCCCTAGTTGAGTAATGAAACATTTGCAAGAAAACCCTCCCAGCCCAGAGAGCACCAAGGATCTCACACTCCTCCTCCTCCTCCGTACTCCCTTCTCGCACTGATGATGTTACCTAGTTGGGTCATGAAACGTCTGCAAGAAAACCAGCAACCTCAGAGAGCACCAAGGACCCTTCCTTTCAACCCCGGGCTACAAATATTCTCCTTGATCGGTTTTTCCTTTGCCGCAACGGGTGCCTTGGCATTGCAGCCCTGGCAGATGGCATGCCTGTCCCTCAATCCGCCTGGCTCTTTCGGTTTGCTCCTCCCGAGTCCCTCAGAGAGCGGCCACCCGCAGCCCGGCCCATTCCCCACCCCTAGCCTCGGCCATTTCCGCCAGGGGAGCCGAAGCCCTTCGGCCGCCGCCCTCCCTCTTCCCGACGGTTCCTTGAGGTCTGCGGCGGGGCTGCGCCCACAAACCTCGCCTCCTCTCCCCCCCTCCCTCCTCCGGCTGAGCCTCGGCCATTTCCGCCAGCGGAGCCGAACGCCTTCGGCCTCCCCATTTCCCTCCCTCCCTCCTTCTTCGTCCCGACAGGCTCTTTATGTCTGCGGCGGGACACCTCCCCTCTTTCCCCTCCTCCGACTAGCTTCGGCTATTTCCGCCAAGCTCTTCGGCCTCCCCATCTCCCTCCCTCCCTTCTCCGTCCCGACGGTCTCTTGATGTCTGCGGCGGGACACCTCCCTCCCCCCTTCCGACTAGCTTCGGCCATTTCCGCCAGAGTAGCCGAAACCTTTTCGGCCTCTCCAGCTCCGCTCGTCCTGACTGGCCCTCGATGTCTGCGACGGGTGGGGGGGCTGCGACCGCACACCTCCCTCCCCCCTCCCGCCTCCGACTAGCTTCGTCCGTTTCCGCCAGAGTAGCCGAAGCCCTTCGGCCACTTCTCCCTCCCTCCCACCCACCCGTCCCGACGGGCCTTTGATGTCTGCGGCGGGGCGGCGCCTGCGCCATCTTTCGCCCGCCTCCCCCTGCCCTTAAGCCAGCCTCCCCCCGCCCAGCCCAGCCGAAGCGCCGAGCAGGAGGAGGAGCGTCTCCTCAGCCCGGCCGCGCGCGCCTCTCTCTCTCTCTCTTCCCCCCCCCACTCCCGCCCCCCTCCAGAGCGAGCTCCGGCCTCGCCAAGGCGGCTCCGACGGGGCGGCGGCGGCGGCGTCAGGCTGAGGAGAAGCGGCGCTGGTGCCCCGTGAGGAGGAGCGGCTGGTGCTGCGGCGGCGGCGTCTCTGGATGGGGCCGCGGCCGGCGGGGGCTGCCTCGCGTCCGCGTCGCCAGGGGCGGCTCCTTCCTCCTCCTCCTCCTCCTCCTGAGGGGAACCCGGCCGCCTCGTCTCGCCGCCACCGCTGCTGAGGGAAGCAGGCTCGGGGGCGGCGGCCGCCTCCTCCTCGTCTCCTCCTCCTCCTCCTCAGCCCGGTCGGGGCGGCGCCTGAGGGAGGCAGCGGCGGCGTCGGGCCTTCCTCCCGCCGGCCCCAATGCAGCAGCAGCAGCAGCAGCCTGACTCAGCGGCGGAGGCGCGGGAGAGGAAGAAGATGGCGCAGCCCGCGATGCTGCCTCGGAGGGGCGGCAGCACCAGCAGCAGCGGCGCCGGCTTGGAGGACTTCCCGGCCGGCCTGCTGGTCCAGCCGACGCCGGCGTCCCCTGCCGCATCCTCCGCCTCGGTCTCCGTCTCCTCCTGCCCTCCCGGGGCTCCTCCGCCGCAGAGCCTGGCGCTGCTCTCGCAGGGGGGAGGCGGCGGCGGGCCGGCGGGCGCCCAGTTGAAGAAGAAGAGCGGCTTCCAGATCACCAGCGTGACCCCGGCGCAGATCTCGGCCAGCCTCAGCTCCAACAACAGCATCGCCGAAGACACCGAGAGTTACGACGACCTGGACGAGTCGCACACCGAGGACTTCTCCTCCTCCGAGATCCTGGACGTCTCGCTCTCCCGGGCCACCGACTTGGGGGAGCCCGAGCGCAGCTCCTCCGAGGAGACGCTCAACAACTTCCACGAGGCCGACAGTCCCGGCGCCGTCTCCCCCAACCAGCCTCGCCCGGCCCAGCAGCCCCGAGGCCTGACCAACGGCAGCGCCCACCCGCTGCACATGCCCCACTACGCCCAAGGGGGGCACCCCCAGCCTCCCTCCCATGCCGGGGTCCCCCCGCCGATGTCTGCGGGATCTCCATCCAGCCCGTCTTTCCGAAGGCTGCCCGTCGCGGGAAGTTTGGAGAGGCCTGGTCCTGCAGGAGCATCCTCCGTGGCGGCCCTTGCGGGGGCCACCGTAGCTCACTTCCATGCGGGGGCCATTGCTGCCGGGGGAGCCGTGGCCGCTGCAGCGAGTGGCAGGGCCCGCCAGGTGGGCAAGACCCTCACGAACCTTGCCGCTGCGGGCAACGGCATGGCCTTGCCTGGAGGGAGCCACCCTGGGAATGTGGCACTCTCCGGCGGGATCGGCAACGGTACCGGGACCCCCTCAAACACCTCCGGAAGTACTGGTCATACAGCCGCAGGGGCCACGGCAACGGGTCATCTGCAGCCGGCCGGCAGCACCTCCCGTTTCCGTGTGGTGAAATTAGATTCAAGTTCGGAGCCCTTTAAGAAAGGCCGATGGACTTGTACCGAGTTCTACGACAAGGAGAATCCCGGGGCAGTGGCTGAAAGTGCCCCCGTGGCTAAAACCGTAGACGCTCTCCTAGACGTGGCCTCCGAAAGAGAAAGCACCAGTGGGAGCTCGGTCAGTAGCACCCTGAGCCACTACACCGAGAGCGTGGGCAGTGGGGAGATGGGGGCGCCTCCTGGGATGCAGCCGCAAGGGTTCCATCCTCAGCAGATGGAGTTCAGCACTGGGTTGCCCTCAGCATCAGCACCGGGGCTCCCCCAGAGTATGTCTCAGTCCCAGCTCTCCCAAGTCCAGCTGCATCCTCAAGAGGTCAGCTACCCTCCGCAGAAGCAAGGGGCGCCCCCTCCCACCTCGGCCATGCCTCCTCCGTTGACCGTCGTGGGTGGCCATCAACCAACTCTGCCGTTCACCCCACCGCCAACCCAGCCGGTCCCTGCGGTTCCAGTCGCTCCACAGCCCCAGCCGTTACCTTTTGGGCAGGGACAGGCTCAGCACCCCACCGCCTTGCCCCCCATGCCTATGCAGATGGCTCCAGGGCAGCACGTGAAGCCCATCACCCAAACTTCATTGCCTGAGTACATCCAGCCCCCGCAGATGCTTCCAGCTCCTTCTTTGCAGCCCGGGACAGCGATTGTCGGAAGCGGTTCATCCGTGCCCGTCGCTCAGCCTCCAAATATGCAGCTTCCTGTCCAGACACACATCCCAGTGGCACCTTCTCAGTCTGTGGCGCAGGCTCAACCCGCCATCCCAGCCGCGGGGGCTCCCGCTGCCCTGATGAACGTTGGGCAACCAGGAAGTGCCGCTCCCGTAGCCCAGCGGCCCTCCGTCGCAAGTCAGATTGCTCCTTCTGTGTTGGCCCCCAGCGCTGCTGTTCCTGCACCCCCACAAGCAGCCCCAGGATCCCAAAGTGCTCCATCAGGCCTTCCTCAGACTTTGGGCATCCCGCCACCGGGCAACCTGATGCCCATGCAAGCCGCCGATCCTCTGGTTCAAGGAATGGCCCAGTTGCCTCCTGTTAGCCCAGTCCCTTCCGTCAGCGCTGCTGCTCCTGTGCCTGGCCACTCGGCTTCCAGTATGCCCCCTGCGCCTGGGAGCCTGGCTCCTTCCAAGACCCTCGCCCAGCCTTCAAGTATGCAAAATGGGAGCCTGGTCCAAAATGTCTCTCAGCCTGCCTTGCTTTCCACGGGCGTCCATTTGCCGGGAGCCCCCAACTCTTCCCAGTTCTCCTCGCAGTCCCTCGCTCAGTCTATCGCGAGCCGAATTGAAGAGGCCAAGCGCCCTACGACCGAGTCCATCCTGGTTGGCTTAACCCAGCCTTCTGGTGGCGCTGAAAGCAGCAGCAGCATCGGCGCCTCCTCGGCCTTGGCAGATGGGAGCATGGTCTCCTCTCTCTTCCCCCTGAAGGCACTTCCGCTGGCCTCTCTGGATGGTGAGGAAGACAGGTAAGATCCTTTCAAAGGGACATGTAAGGTAAGGTGGACTTAGGTGAGGGGCTCAGGCCTGGCCGGAGACCAGCTTTCTAATGAATGTCTTGGAAGCTTACAAGAATGAGGTTGGGTCATAGTAATCAGAGGAATCTCTGCCAAAATCCAGGATGGCCCTTTTTGGGGTGCTTCCAAAAGTGGTCGGTGTGGGGGGGGGGTTAGCTGTGGGAAAGATCTGCAAACACGTAAATTTAGGGATGAGACGATCTTTTCTTTGTGCGTAAGGTACTTAAGAAGTGCATTGTTGGAAGCACATTGGTCCAAATTAATTCCATATTTATAGAGATTTGGGCTTTTTTCATTAGAGGTGGAAAAGGGAAACAGGAATGAATTTAGAGAGCACGGAGACCTGAACCATCCTTCATTCAGAATTTCCTCCCTCCCCCACCCACTCTATTTAAGGCACCATTGTTAAACCAACCCTATATATCCGTAAACCGACGTGTATTTCCAGGATCTTGAGATTCTTTTCCAGGGCAAAATTCTGCAGAATTGTAGATTAGAGAAAGAGAGGCTGATTTAATGAAGGGAAGCCTGCACAGTCAGAATCCCCGCCCCACCCCCACAAGGATGAGAGAGCAGATTTGGGGCATGAAGTTGTTGTGTGTTGATTTAAGGTCAGACCCAAAAGAAACCAAGGCAGAAAATGTGGGACCTGGAGGTTATTTCCATCCTTAGGTAAAACATGTATGGGGGGAGGGAGGGAGGGGTTTGGGGGCCAGGGGGTCAGCAAGAAGTCGAGAATTAATGGGTGGGCTTGTTCTTTGTGACCTTTGAATTGATTTTATGCAGTCAATTTCCAGTGCTGGTCGATGCTGGGAGTTTTTTGTTCAGTCTATGGAGGCTACAGATATTCTCCTTCTTTTCTCATTGCTTTCTCCCTACCTACCTGCCTACCTACTGTCTCTTTCTCTCTCTATCTAGTCTACTTACTCTCTCATCTGTCTATCTCTCTTGACACACCTCTCTCCATCCTTTCTTTTCTCTCCCTCCCTCCCTCCCTCTCTCTCTAGATATATATAGATATATCTATCTCATTTATCTATCATCTCTCTCTATACATACACACACACACTACCTACCTAATGATCATTTCAGCATTTTTCTTGTGGCAGATGCATTCAAGATGGGTGGGTCCATTCATTGATGGATCTTCTTGTTCTGTAACATTAGAAAGTTGATTTATTTTTTTTTTAGTGTTGCTTATTCTCTTCCTTCTGTACAGAAGCCATTGGCCTAGGAGACCTGAAATCTCTTTACCGTATTATTATTATTATTATTATTATTATTATTATTATTATTATTATTTGTATCACTATCCCACTTTTTCTCTGAGCTCAGATGGAGTTTTTAATCTCCTTTTCATTCTTAAAACAGCCACCCTATGGTAGGCTGGACCTAGAGACGATGCCTGTTTTTGATACCCTGTGAGAATCTAGGGAACGGTTGGTATGTAGTAAGTTGGGTATGTGTTGATTTAAGGTTGCACCCAAAAAGAAACCCCTGGCAGAAATGTGGGGCCCCAGTTGCCCCCAAAACCCTGGTCTCCCCACTCCAATTCCAGCATCGTAATGGTGCTGTAACACTAAACCTCTGGTCTTAACCTGATGTCAAACAGGAATGTGCAGCTATTCTGATGGGAAGCAGAAAACGTGCTTGAGAAGGGACATGGGTGTGTTTCCTGCATTGTCCATGTGTCTCAGGCTGAGGATTGTCATCGCAAAGCATCTGGGAAGCCATCAGCTTTGGGTAGGGTTGATTTAAATCTGTACTTTGTGATAGCTGCGCAGATTCATCCAGGCAGAATTCTGGTTCCCAGTGAAGGTACTTCACAAGATGAAATATCTTTGCAAATTTGCATCGGTGATATCCAAGGCTTTGATTCAGGGTAGGAGCAAAAAGATGAGACAGCATAGCTGGATTGCTATTGCATTATTTTTTCTTTTTCTTTTTTTCTCATCCAGTCAAGTTTTCTTGGCTCGGTGAGATCCCGGAAGTAAAGTGTAGTAAAACAGCTGTTTCACTCTTAGATTTTGTTCATGAAACAGGCAGATTACTCTGTACAGGTAGACCTTGACTTAAAATTGAGCTCCAGATTTCTGTTGCTACATGAGGCAGTTGTTAAGTGAGTTGCACCTCATTTTATGATCTTTTTGCCCAAGTTGTTAAGTGAATCACTGCAGTTGTTAAGAGAAGCCCGTTGTTAAGTGAATCTGATCTCCTCCTCCTCCCCCCCTCATGACTTGGTGACCCCAGGAAAGTGCAACCATCATAAGTACATGCCAGTTGCCAAGTGTCCAAATTTTGATCACATGACAGTGGAGATGCTCTAACGGTCGTAACTGTGAAAGTGACTCAGTCGTAAGTGACTATTTTCAGTGTTACTAATAAAGGAGAATATTTGTGGCTCATGACAAGGACTTCCCTTATTTGCAGTGGCATTGTAACTTTAAATGGTCACTAAATGGTTATAAGTCAAGGACTACCTGTACAAATCTTCAAAACCTCTGTGTTTCTTTGCCCAGGCCTACTAACTGCATCACCTTTTAAAATAGCTTAACCCCAGATTTTAAAACAGCTTGGTAACATTACTTGTGGGGCAGATATTGAGCTCTGATTTCACAGTTCTGTTTCTAATTTCTCTTTCCATCCAAGGAGCTGACCCCAAATGAATTCAGCCACTCTTCCTCCTGGGTGATATAATATGGTTGAAGTAAGGTTGCACATCTTCTCAATCCCACGTGTATTCTCCCTCTGTATGATTCCAGTTGCAAATGTTCAAGAGAAATGGAAAGTACTGGAGGTTTTCAGAAATACACTGGGCAACCCATATATTTTTTTCGATGACAAAAGAATAGATTCTTTATTGGCCAAGTATGATTGGACACACAAGGAATTTGTCTTCGGTGCATAAGCTCTCAGTGTACATAAAAAGACAAGATACATTTGTCAGGAATCGTAAGGTACAACACTTAGTGATAGTCAATTTGACCAGGATGGTATAAGATCCATCTGCCTTTAGTAAGGGGGTTGGACTAGAAGACCTCTGAGGTCCCTAGGATTCCATGTTCTACCTTGGAAGAGGCTGGAGTGTCATTTGGACAAATATTTTGACTCTTTTCAAACTAATCATACTTGAGGGAAGTATGGATTCTAGGAGTTTTGCTGAGCAATCTGGTTCTTTTTCTACTTTCCAATAGAATAATATAATAATACAATCTGTGTTTGACATAGGCAAATAAATACTTAATACTTCTGTAACATCTTTGCAAGAAATTTAGAAGAGTACTGGGCTGTTTAAGCAACTGTAAATGGGAACATATTTTGTGCAAGATAATCTACCATAGCTCTCTGCTGATTTAAACTGGATTTTTCTGACATTCTGAGATTCTCTTATCTCTGGAAGCTTTTAGAAGAAGCTGGATGGTTCAGTCTGTTTTCCTTCATGTTGCAAAGGGCCGGATGAGCTTCTATTGAGGTCCTTTCCAATTCTACAATTCTCCCTCCGCCTTAGCTGAGCAGGGTCATGCGGCTTGATTTTAAATTACTTGTGATTTTCTACTTCTGAAGTATCGCAGAGAAACCAGTTTAGTTGGCAATTCCACTTTGGAGAGGAAAAAAAGGAAACTGAATTATTTTTAGGAGTGTTGGTGCATGATTATATTCACCTAAATATGCTTGGAGAATAATTGGACTTAATTAAAAATGCAACCTTTTTGTAGTGGTTTGTATTCGTTGATTAGATTCTTCCCTAAGTAAGATTGAAAAGTATGTTGAGTTGAATAAAAAAGAGGAAAAAAATAATCTGAAAGTTTTGATTACTTTTTTAGGTCAGTGATACAAAGAATTTGTATCCAGTCTTTGCACACAATTATCAAGTATCAAACTTTGTAGCCCTGTTTCAGACAAACTGTAAAGAGTTTTGAACAAACTTCTGTAACATAGTTTTCCACACAAATTTTGTAACAAATTCCCTTTTTGATACAACGATGATGGATATGAAAGATTATGGTCCCTTTTCAATTGGCAGAATCCAGAACACTGCTGATTTGTTTTAAAAGATTAGAATTTTCAGATACATCTCCAGGTTCTGTTTTCATTTTACTGAGCAAATGAATAGTAGCTGAATCCTTTTTTGGCATACCACTTCATATTTAATGAACACGCTTAAATAAATTGTTGAATAAACTACAATTGATGAGCTTCATGTCACTTTGGTAAATTTGTGCTCACAGAACTGTGAATATCTATCTATCTATCTATCTAATCTATCTAATCTATCATCTGTCTATCAATCTAGCTAGCTATCTGTCCATCCATCCATCCAACCTGCCATCCACATACACACACACGTATGTATATTTATATGTATTATATTTTATTTTCTATTATATTTTATTTTTGTATATTCAATATTCTATTCTATATTTATATTCTATTACATCATATATATATATGTGTGTGTGTGTGTGTTATATATTATATAATATATTTAACTGGGATTTTAAATTTTATGGATTTGGGGTTTTAAATTGGGTAGCCAGTGATTTAATTCTTTTAATTATCTTAACTTTTGCATTTGTATGTTTTTTTAATTTTGGCTGTTCACCGCCCTGAGTCCCTTCTGGGAGAAGGGCGGTATACAAATTAAATTAATAAATAAAAATAAATAAATAAAATATTTATTATATTATATTTATTATATTTATTATTACATCCTTTTATATTCTGGGTTGGTCTATATACCACTTAGTATGTTTTTGAAACTAGGTAAAAGTCACCTTGTTTTTCGGTGGTATAATTATTTTTTTTACTTGTTAATTCTCTATCCATAATACAAAACTAGTCACCCCATCAGGTGCCCTAGTTTAAGGAAATAAGGGAAAAACCATATATATATATATATATATTTAATATACACTGCATTAACTGAGTCCAGTTTACTTCTTGGCCTTGAA